CTTTCTAAAACAAGGAACTATAGATAGGCTAACTAGACTCAGCGGACGGACAAGCACTGGAGAATGGCTGGGGGCACTGACAACAGAGTGGACAGTAACAGGAATGACAGAATATATAGGCTCCAGAGGTGTTGGAGGGAATGAGAGGGTGTCACTTGGGATGTGGTATATAGATGAATAAGATTGTTTGGGATGTTCTGTATGAAATACACACAAAAAAGCAAGGGTGTTTTTTAAAGTCATTAACATGGACCATAGTCAGAAAATGACATTTGGAGGAACTAAAATGACATGAGTGAATTAATCATGAAACTATCCAACAATTAGTGTTTCAAGGTGACAGAATACTCTGTTATAAAGTGTTTTATGCTGGGTAAAGATGGCATGCTTAACAAAATGAAAACTTCATCAAGATTAAAGCAAAATCAGGGGCAGTAAGGTGAGAGGTAGGAGATAAGTTCCTGTAGGTGGGGGAGGGCCAGAGAGTGGATGATTTCTAGGCCACTGTATATTTTCCTTCAAATGAATTATACTTCTTTACAAGGATTTAAATAAATAAAGAACATTGCCTCACTGGTTTAAGTAATACTGACTGCTAAATAGAGTCTGCTATAGGCAGATAGAAGTCTATTGCAATACTCTTAGCAAAATGCAATGGTGGTTTCAACCAGAGTGGAAACAATAGAGCCAGTGAAAATGGACAAGTTCAGGGTAATTCTTGAAGAAAAGGATATCAGCATCACCTAAAATATTTAAAAGTGGATAAGAGAAAAAAGAGATCGAGTTGGTTTAAAATTTTAGTTTTAGAAATCAAAAGGGAAATTAGGCTGGTAAATGACCCATGCCTGCAATTTCAGCACCCAAGAGGATGAGGCAAAAAGATTATGAGTTCAAGTCCTGCCTGGGTGACACAGTGTGTTCCAGACCAGCCTGAGAGCCTGTCTCCAAAAAAATATCATATTGTTAGAATTTTGCTAATTACTGTGGTTGATTAACAGATTGATCAATTTGGAGAAATAAAGACTAAAAATCAGCTTTTATACATGTAGTATTTAAATGCTTCTATCTCTCATTCAACTCTAACTAGAGGATTTAGCAGTAGAGACTGAGGCATCTTCCATTGGCAGAATGTTTCCTCTGAGGGTCACAGAAAATCCATGGACAGATTCATGAGATTCTGAGACCTTTAAGATTTAGTGTGTGTACACATATATGCATATACACTTTGAAGAAAATTTCATGTTTATTTATTTTAAACAAGTCATTTCACAAATGTCAGAGCAATTAACTATTTTCAGATAAAGAAATTAAGGAACATGGTAGCTAGATCATTGGTGTCCTTTAGGAAAACAAGAATGAGAATATGAATTTTGAGACAAGAAGAGGAATACAGTGGGTCATCTGTCACTTTCCTCCTTTCACTTCAACTGAGACAGTGGTAATACCCTCTGTGTCCAGAGACTCATATGTATGTTGGGATTTTTAATCTCCTTGCTAACCTCTGTCTCAATACATTCCAGCAAGTAGCCTCAGCATTGTTTTATGTTGGTTTTTGTAAGTGATGTTAACAAATGAAGTCATAAAATGTTGCGGCTGGGAAAAGGAACCAGTTTTCATTTCCTTATGCTGAAGACTCCTTGAGTAAAGAAATTACTCCTCTTATTCACACAAGTGATTACTGTTAGGAATCTGTACCAATTAGAATCCCCATTAGTCCCAGGACAAAGAGTTTTTCACTTTTAAAACAATCAGTCCTTTGCCAGAATCATTGGAGTAGATGATATAATATTAAACTTCTGAATTTTAGCTAAATTCTGAATAATACCACTATTCTAGCTTACATTATTTATAGAAATTTGATTTTTATACATGAGCTCAAAATTTATAATTAAATAATATTTCTTCTCACTCAGAATAAAAATAGGTACTACTTTGCAACTGTATTATCTACTCAGTGAGAGCACTATGCATTTTACCTGTGCAAAACTGAGCTCTTAACATTTTTGAATAAGAAGACATGCAGGTTAATAAACAGTTAAGACATTTTTCAAAGATTACAGACATACTGAGCAATGAAGTCAGGTTTTGAACGCAGATGCCATAGTTGCTATAAACAACTATTCCTATACCAAACTTGTCTATTATTGGCTGGGTTTGGTCAGAAGTCTGTGGTTAGCTCTTAGCTAAGAACTGGATCAAAAAAAATGACCTCATTCAGATGTCTTGGGGCCACCTTGATGCTAGTTCAGACTGACAGAACTAGGTGACTCTTTGTTAAGCATGTTAGCCTAGGGCTATTACAGGGAGGTAGAAGGATTGCAAAAGTGATAAAAATAGTAAGAGTGCAGCCTATTAAGACCTAGGCTTAGACTCCCCATGGGCCTCCAGAAGAACTTATCTGCCAAAGCACACCCTCTGAACACCTGAGCATTTGTGGGGAGCTCCCTCTCCTCGTGGGTCTTTGGCCACTGGTCCAGGAGGACAAAGGGAGCAGGAGCGGGGTCAGGATGGCCAGTGAGCGCTGACCGAAGAAAGCCCTTCCAAGGCAGGTTCAATGATGCAAACAGCTCCAGACTCGGTGAAACAGCTCTAGATTCAGTGAAACAGCTCCGTTTATTCAGTGGGAGAACTAGGGAAAATGTAGCGTGGAGGCAGTAGCCAATGCTTCAGCTGATAGGTGCTTATAGTATGCTTTATTTACATGTGGCAGTAGGCTCCTATCATCCGACTACCAGGCAATGCCTAATTATCATATAGAAAAAACCTAGGGTAGTTTTTACTCCAGGTAACTATGCCAAAGGTCACATTCCAAATAATGTCAGGCATCCGTGCTTGGGGGCACTTTCCAGGTAAGTCAGGAAGAGAGCAGGAGGACCCCTGCTGAGAAGGGGAGTCCTTCCACATGGCACGCCAAGGCCCTTAGAGCTATCCTGACATGGAGGATTACAACCCTAACAGCAGGGTTCCCCAACAAGCATTAAGAAGTGGAGAACCAGAATGCACTCATGAAATCCATAACGAATTGTGGCCATTATTTTGGCACTATACCTCATAATCCTTTGCTCTGTTGTTTAATTTCACTTTCTTATGTTCTTGTAAGTTTAGGAGCACTGATACAAAAATATAATGTACTGAATTTGTCTCAAAATATTGTGACAATTATGACACTGTGAATGTGGTCTTGAGTCTTTCATTCTGCTTTAATGTTATCAACTTCTTTATTTGCTTTAAATTAAACTGGCATTCATATAAAATACATATTTATTCGTGGTGGTGGATGCCTTTAATCCCAGCACTTGAGAAGCAGAGGCAGGTGTATCTTTTTGAGTTCAAGGCCAGCCTGGTCTACATACTGAGTTCCAGGACAGCTGGGGCTACAGGGAGACCCTGTCTCCAAAAGACCAAGGGGAAAAAAACTATTTATTATGTTTTTATTTGGAATTTCTTCAACCAATTTCTTTCATCCAATTTATTTTTCAACTCTTTCTAAGATTTCATAGTTTCTCATATAAGAAGACATAGAAAATTATGGTGCCAACTCATATTTTGGAAGGATCTTGAATGTACATTTCCATAGCATTTTGAAGAGAAATTATTTGTGTAAACAGAGGTTTCTATACAGAGAAATCAGCTTTTCAGTTACCATTTGGAATGAACAATTCCTGCCTTCACGATCTGCTTTCATACCTGCAGCCATGCTCACAAATGCCAGAAGAGAGTGCCACATCCCCTGGAACTGGAGTTTCAGATGGTTGCTAGCCACAGTGTGGGTGCTGGGAACTGAACCCAGGTCCTTTGCAAGAGCAGCCAGTGCTCTTAACTGCTGAGTCACATCTCCAGCCCCTCTGTCCACTAATTTTTAATTATTTAAAATAATTAAGTTTCACTGATACCAAAAAACCATAAAACTGCATAAATTTATATGGTGTCCTGTGATGTTTAGATACATTACGGAATATGCAGCTAAAGTTAAATATATCAATATCATCAAGCATTAATGATTTATTTTCTTTTTATTTAATTTATTTATTTAGTGTGTGTGTGTGTGTGTGTGTGTGTGTGTGTGTGTGTGTATGCAGTGTGGAGGTCAGCAGAAAATCAAGTTATTAGTTCTGGTCTCACTTGTTGAGTCATCTTGCTGTTTTAATTATATATTTATGGAAAAATGTTCAAAATAATATTTCTAGTATTTTTAAATATATAGTATTGTTGTCTACAGTCTATTGTGCAATAGCATAGTGGAGCTTCTTCTATCTATCTTTCAACTAGTTTCTGAATATATACTCTTGATTAAGCAGATTGTGCAATCAAATACCATCTCTGCCACTAACCCACTCCATGACTGGTTACTTGTATTCTGTGTGCTTACTTATTATCAATTAATGGCAATGCATAATGCCATTTAGCTTATGAAAGTATGATGAGAATTAAATTTACTATAGAATACAAACCTGCCATAAGATCTGTAATGTATTTATTTGTCTGTTCTATTAGAAGGAAGACTCATACAGTGAACTGGTATATAATACTTCACACACAAGAAATCATCAATTAATTATGGAAGGATACTGAATTTTTGTGGGATTTTTTTGAGACATGCTATAAGCTTAGGTTGACTTGGTCATCTGATCCTCTTGACTCACTTTCCTTTATAGGCATGTGATACCATGTCTATCTCAGAATACTGAGTGGTTTGATTGATTACTACTTACCAAACATTGAGCAGGACATTCTCATATGTATATTCTTAAAGACAAGATGCCAGCTAGTCATTAGTCAATTCTATGAGCTTCATTTCTCTCATGTTTTATGCACTATGTTAAAGCTAATTCATGGATTCTTCCCATTTTAAAGCTTTTACCATAATTATCATTAGCCTACAAAGTCACAGACTCCAGTTCTGTAATTCTATAAGTACCATATAAAATTCCAGGCTCCTCAGTAACTGATGATTTAATTGATAAGCTTTATATTTTGTCTCAATGTTTATGGAGAATCAGGTTTTTCTCCCTGAGGACATGGAAGTGGATAATCGCACCATCCTGACTGAATTCATCTTGCTGGGCTTCTCAGCAGATCCCCGGTGGCAGCTGATTCTATTTGGAATATTTCTAACGATCTATTTGGTAACTTTGTCAGGGAACATGACCCTGGTCATCTTAATCAGGATTGATTCCAGGCTGCACACACCCATGTACTTTTTCATCAGCAATCTCTCATTTTTGGATTTCTGGTATACCTCTGTATATACCCCCAAAATCTTGGCCAATTGTGTCTCAGAAGACAAACGCATTTCCTTGGCTGGATGCGGGGCTCAGCTGTTCTTCTCCTGTGTCGTAGCCTACACTGAGTGCTACCTGTTGGCAGCCATGGCCTATGACCGCCATGCTGCAATTTGTAACCCACTGCTTTATTCAAGCATCATGTCCACTTCTCTCTGTACAGGGCTTGTAGCTGGCTGCTACATAGGTGGGTTTATGAATGCCATAGCCCATACTGCAAACACCTTCAGGCTGACTTTCTGTGGTAAAAATATCATTAATCACTTTTTCTGTGATGCACCACCATTGGTAAAAATGTCCTGCACAGACACCCGTATCTATGAAAAAGTCCTCCTGGGCGTGGTGGGTTTCACGGTGCTCTCCAGCATTCTGGTCATCCTCATCTCCTACTTCAACATCCTCCTGGCTATCCTGAGGATCCACTCAGCCTCAGGAAGGCGCAAGGCATTCTCCACCTGTGCCTCCCACCTGGTCTCAGTCATGCTCTTCTATGGATCCTTGCTCTTCATGTATTCAAGGCCAAGTTCAACCTACTCTCTAGAGAAAGACAAATTGGCTGCCCTGTTCTACACCGTGGTCAACCCGTTGCTCAACCCTCTCATCTACAGCCTGAGAAACAAAGATGTTAAAGATGCCTTCAAGAAAGCAATACAGACAATATGTTCACACACATGAAAGTTATCCTTTTTTACTAAGTGCTGTTAATATATTTTCCAATAATTCATTTATAGACATGCTTATACATTTATGTATTTCACTTAAAGTCAGCAAATAATCCCCCAAACAATGAAACGTTGCACAAATAACTTTCTAATTATCATCGTGTTGCATGATATAAACCATTAACACCTATATGTTACAATACTTGAGTGTTTAATGCTCTTCAATATTGTATTTTTCCTTTTATTTTTTATAAATGAAATTTTATTTGTTGTTACTGAAGTATTTTGAGCAAAAAGAATTACACTGTTTCAAGGATATAGTTTGATTTTAAATTTGCCCAGCAATTGTTACTGACTGAGGAGAAGATTTGGAATGGTGAGATTCTTGGATATTTGTACAAGATTTTACAAAACTATATTTTAATAAGATGTTCCCGCTAACAAATTCCTTAATAAAACACGACTGGAGTATGAATAAACAATCTTTATAAACCATGTATCTTATACATCAATGTAATGTGATGCAAAGTACTTAAAAGTTGTTTATATCACAAAACAAAGCTAAAGATAACAAAAAAACACTTTCTAAATAGATAGAGAAGCATGTGTCCTTAGGGTTGTGTATCACCCTAAGAATTGTGTTGTCTTCTAAAGAGAACAGGTACTTCACAGAACCCTGCCACAGATCACACATTAACATAACTCATATTAGGAGACAATCACGATGTTTGACTGAGTGAAACAAACTAATCAAGAACAGACAAATGTATTGGTAGGTTCCACAGTCTCTTCTGTTTTTACCTGTCCTGATCCAGCCAGCTATATGTTTTCCCCTGTACTCTTGGGAAAAGTAAGTACATTAACAATACATTTCCAGCTCTAACAAGTTGTTTATGCTGTTTCCAGAATCAAATATGTTGCTAAACCCATATCATTACCCATGGTTTGGAGTCAACTTCTTCATAACCTCATATAAACACAATACCTCAAATTTCTAGTGGATACCGCCAGGTAGAACATCTCTGACTTGATGTCCTTGCAAGTACTAGCTGTAAAACCATCTGCATTTAAGCCTAGTAATAAACACTGTGGGTTGATCAACAGATTATGTAGTGAATTTTTTTTTCTTGGAACCCCAACAGATATTTCTTAAGGTTGTATGGGGTACTCCCTTGGGGCACCATCTCTGTCATTCCTTTAGGTAAATTCCAACTGAATGTTCAGATCAATGAAATAACATTCTAGAATCAATACTAGTATTGGTAAAAGTTTATAACTGAGAAAGAAAAATTATAGCTCAATATTTAGTGCATTTCCAGTTTAGTTGGCACACAATTCAATATCCATTACATGAATGGGAATAAAAGCTTCTGAGTTAACTTTTGCAAACTAATGATTTCTAGAAAAGAGTTTAAATTTTATTATTGAAAAAGTACTGCAACTGGTAAAATGAAAATATTTATAAACAATTTAAAATAGCAAATATTTATAGGTATTATACCAGTTGCATTAATTCTCTTGTTTTGTTTGCATATGTTGTTTCATATGTTATTGCCATCTTTCTTTCTCTAAAAATAATTTTCACACTCCCTATTATTTGTTCACTGAGAAATACCAAGTATTTGGCCAGAGTAAATTAGAATATATTCTCTATAAGCCAATGATCAATCCTTCACAACTTTTATTTCTGTTTTGTTTTTTTTTTTGTTTTTTTTGTTTTATATGTATGACTGTATTACCTGCATGTATGTAAGTTCACCTGTGTTATGCAATGCCTGTGGAGGTCAGAAGAGGGCATCAGATCCCCTGTAACAAGAGTTACAGATAGTTATTTGCCATCATGTAGGTGCTAGGAACTGAACCTGGGTCCTCTGCAAAAGCAGCCAGTGCTCTTAACTGCCGAGCCATCTCTCCATCCCACAAATGATCTTTCTTATTCAGACTCTACAGTCACAGAATTTGCTCATTTTCCCCAACACCTTCTCCCTATTTAAAGAGTCCTTCCTTACTATATATATTAAAGTAGACTTTTTTTCCTCTTGTCACTCTCAGTGCCTTTTCACAAGTGTACAATGGATTCAAGATAAATTACATGATTTTTCTTTTTACCCCCACTAGACTATTACTTTTGTGGTAATTTATCTTTTTATATACATAATTCCCAGAAATGTTACTGATTCTTAGTGTACACAAATAAAGGCACACTGAATTAAAAAGAAATAACTATCATTTAAACAATGAACAATCTATTTTAATAATTTAAAATTAAATTAGAAGGTCTTTTGAAAAGGGTCTTAAATTAAAAGTTAGATTGTCAATCACAGCGAACTTTCTATTCCTATATAACCTGTGCTTTGTCTTTTTAATTCTTGGATTTATTATTAAATAGAAAAAAGACAAGCAAGAGAATGCTTGAGAAGCTACTGTTTCAGGAGGAAAAAACGTGGGACCAAATCAGGAGATCATGAGAAATCAGTATTGCTTCCTAAAAGTCAAATTCATCACCAGAAAACAATCAAAATACAACCAAAAGTGAAATATCCACAATTTTATTAAAGGATAGGATAAAAGTTACCAGTGTAGTAAGACAATGCATTGTATATCTTAGGTGTATATGTTACAAAGATAGAGTGACAAAAATCCCCAACTGATTAGTAAAACTGGAGAGCACAGTGCATATAGACCCTCTGATACTTTGAGAAAGGGACATGGTTGCCTACTGCCAGACTACATCCTTTGTAAGTAGTTTGAAAAGATTCAACATGAAGCATATGAACATTCTTAGGAAAGGTAATCTAGGGACTTGGCATCCTATGAACCAAAGCTGACATACTGTTGTGTTCACTGCATATGAATTTTTGTTATTGTTTTTTGGAATTTAATAGAGAATCTTTTCTGTCACAAAAGTTCATAATTTTAGCTGAAGTTGGACATTCTGTAATCTATGCATCTCAGTTTGAAGTTCTAAGCTCCTTGGGATTGAAAGAAGAAATCTGAAACAAGATAATGAGTATCTATGAGTACTTGCTTGTACAAATTTTATCTCCAAATGGTATCAAAAAGTCTTTGCAAATGTCCTTGTAAATGCATCTTTGACCTCCTTGTTTTTCAGATTGTAAGTGAGTGGACTCAACATGGGAATCACAGATGTGAAGAAAAATGACACCACTTTATTGATATCCAGGGAGAAGCTGGAACTCAGATGGCCACAGATAAAGAGTCCCATAAAGGGTAGAGACTGCCAACAGGTGCAAAGAGCAGGTAGAGAAGGCTTTGCACCTCCCACTGTAGAATATACTTAATGTATATACATATTCATTACAGAAAGAGATTAAAAAGACTACCTTACTTAGGGGAAATTGCCCTATTAGACACATAGACTTCCAAAGTAAATGCCCAGAGACAGGAATGGTCTCCCTTTTTTGGAGCTGTTGACCAGATGTCCCATAGGCCCTCAAATAATACTGGCCATTGCTTCTGCTTTTGGTTACCCAACATAACTTAATGGTAAGATACTGCATACATGAGTTGCAGAATAAACAAATGGAAATTAAATTGGTACTGACCTCAAAGCTTCATCTCTACTGGCTAGCTTTTGTAGTGCTAGAAGTCGCTACACAATTTACCTGAAGAGAAAATTTAGCAAGAACATTACTCAGCTGTGAATCCTGCAAGCTAGAAAAACAACTGACCTCAGAAATATGCCCACCAGTGTCACAGTGGCATGGACATTATAAGAGTAGCCAGCTACTTTTTAATTGGATTTAAGTTGCACTTCATAGGATGAAGTCCATTGCTGACATTGATGTCAGGCTGAGAAATCTGACAGATAGGCCACATGCCATGGGAGAAAGTCTAACATAACTATCTGTTAATAGATAAAGATTTCAAATGACTTCTAATGACAGTGCCCCAATATTGTCCATAAGATCTTTGAAACTCAAAATCATACTTCTTTCTAAACCATAAGCCTGTTGCACACCACAAATGTTCAGTGAGTGCTCTATGATTCTGAATATATGGTCCATCCCCACCAGCACTTACTTGCTATTTCAATAAACTGATAATACATGAAAAATGTGAGTTATGTCATTTTTTGGAAAAGGGTGAAGATCTAAGCTAACCAATAACAGTGTCCTTAGCAAATCACTTAAATTTAAAAGGATGTTTATATGCTATACAAGGATAGGAATTTTCTCCAAGCATAAAAACTGCTAAACACGCACACAGAATCTTTTTACTATTTTTGTCAGCATACAAGATGAGTTTCATTGTAACATTTCCATACATGTATCATTGTGTCTTGCTCTTAATAATCCCTCACTATTCTCCCCATCCTTTCTTTAACTCCCTCCTTTCTTCTCTTCCTTCTTTCTTCTTAGTAATTTCCTTGCCATTCCCTTTTTCATGTGTGTGTGTGTGTGTGTGTGTGTGTGTGTGTGTGTGTGTGCACAGACTTTGGGTTGCATATGCTTGTGTAGGTGCATGCATGTCGAGTCCAGAAGAGAGCCTGGGTGTCATCCTCAAGGATGCCTTACACCTCTTATGAGACATGGTCTCTCAATAACCTGGAGCTCACCAACTAGGTTAAACTGGCTGGAGAGTATTTTCCCAGGATCCTTCCTTGTGTTGGGATTAGAAACAAGGCCACCACACTGGATTTTCTATGTGAGTTCTGGAGATCATACTCAGATCTTTATAATTGTAAGGCAAGCTCTTTGCTGACTGAGACATTTCTCCCATTCCTTTCCATTGTTTTACACAATGATTTCAAATCAGGTTCTTAGGACATGAATTTATAAACAATGTGAAGTAGAAGTGAAAGACTGTTAGTGATAAGGAATTTCAAGATTGACCTTTTGGTCCACGACTTCTAGTGCTCTTATTTATATTTTTATTTTCACAAGTAATATAAGCAACAGTAAAGAATACTCAGGGCTGGACCTCATTTTTCTTTTTAAAATAATCAATGTAAAATTCCTAAGCATGGATAAATGTGGATAGAATTGGGAA